TAAACTTCTGACCACAACTGTACAGTTGGTCCTCTGGTTCTTGAGCTGGTAAACCATAGTCTGATGTCAGGCGTTGTCCCTAAAGATTTTAAACACGCAGTAGTCAAACCTCTGATTTAAAAACCTGCTCTTGATCCGCAGGATCTTGCGAATTACAGGCCTATCTCCATACTACCTTTTCTTTCTAAAATTCTTGAAAAGATAGTCTATAGCCAAATATTGGCCTTCTTGGAAAATCAAAATGTATTAGAGGTTTTCCAATCTGGTTTTAAACCCTTTCATAGCACTGAATCAGCCCTTTTAAAATTTTTTAATGGCATATTCTTAGCTACTGAAGCTGGGGACTGTGTTGTTCTTGTGCTTTTAGATTTGACAGCTGCTTTTGATACTGTGGATCATGCCATTTTATTCTCTCGTTTGGAGCACTGGGTGGGCATTAGCGGCACAGCTCTCGAGTGGTTCAGGTCCTACTTGGCAGGGCGAACATTTTGTGTCAGTCTTGGTGACTATGTGTCGTCCTCTGCTTCTCTCTTGTGTGGTGTCGGTATGTGGGCTCGGTTCTTGGCCCTCTCCTCTTCTCTTTGTATCTTCTTCCTCGGGTCTATACTGAGTAAGCATGGCATTGCTTTTCACTTGTATGCTGACGACTGTCAGATCTATGTCCCTCTTCAGAAAAAAGGCAGAAACCTCATACAGCCATTACTTCAGTGTCTTGATGACATAAAGGCTTGGATGTCTATTAACTTTTTAAAATTCAATGATAAAAAGACTGAGGTGATGATTTCTGGTAGTCCTACTGAGACCCCCAATGTGTATGTTGATTCCCTGGCCCAGTTTGTTAAGCCAACTGTCACCAACCTGGGGGTCAAAGTGGACTGTGATCTGACGTTTGAATATCAGATTAGGGCGGTGGTAAAATCTAGCTTCTTTCACCTCAGGCAGCTGGCGAAAATAAAGCCAATTCTTTCACGGCAGCACTTCGAGACAGTGATCCACGCCTTTGTTACCACTCGGCTGGATTACTGTAACGCACTCTATATTGGGGTCAGTGCATCTTATATTAGTCATCTACAGAGGGTGTAAAATGCTGCAGCCCATCTTTTAACTGGCACTCCAAAGTTTGAGCACATTTCCCCTGTTTTAGCTTCACTTCACTGGCTGCCCATTTCTTTTAGGATTCATTTTAAAAATCTTTTGTTTGCTTTTAAATGTCTCCATGGCCTTGCACCTTCTTATCTCTCTGTCCTGTTACAGCCTTACACACCCTCCCGCTCTCTCCAATCAGCTGATCAGCTGCTCCTGAATGTACCCAGGACTGGGCGTAAACTTAGAGGAGATCACGCCTTTGTTGTAGCAGCTCCTAATCTGTGGAATGAGCTTCCTTTAGAGATAAGACAGGCCAGTTCCTTACCTGTTTTTAAGTCACTCTTGAAAACACACCTCTTTACCCTTGCTTTTGACACCATGTGAGATGTCGGTTACTATTTTTTTTTTTTAGTTTTGACTTATTTTAGCTGTTTTTGTGTGTTTCAATGCTGTTTTTATCTAGTTTTTATTCTTATTATTGGGCTGTTTTAATTTTATGTCTCCTGTGTTTTATTTATTTCTCTTTGCTGCTTTCTGTTTATTCTATTGTTTTAATGTATTTTCTGTACAGCACTTTGTTCCTGTGCTGGGTGTTTTAAAGTGCTTTATAAATAAATGAACTGAACTATATTGATCACTGAACAAACAAAGATCTTTAGATCTTCTGAATTAACAAATAACCTTTGCTAATAAATTAAATCTTTAAAAATAAATATTACAATCTTTTGATTAAACATAGACCAAGCAAGTTGGTGTAAGAAGTTATATCTATTATATACATAGCACGTATATCATATATAGCACATATATTATATACATTTATATCTTTTATATACAAGCACATATATCCTTATATGTATATATGCATGTAATTTCATATGTCAATATGTTTGATCTTCTTAGGAATTAAAACATAAGCTGATATCAACAGCCTTTAATTTCTAGATATGTAGTTCATAACCTCTACCCTACTTTGTGAGAAATGTCCCCATGTCTGTGGAGGGATCAGACATGGACACTGCTTATGATGGGATAGTAATGGCACTGACTCCTCCTCCAGCATCGACGAGCCTGTAGTTTCACTTTGGTTCGCTCGGTCGTTTATTTTCTAACTTTGTTGACAACCATGTCGGTCACGTCCAGCATGCGTGCAGCAGAGCAACCAGGAAAACGTGGAACGGACTTCAGCAGAGGGGGGGAGGTCGCTTCTGACATAATGGTTGCGACATCTATGAATCATCTCCAGTCGATCAGCAAATTCAGTAGTTTGCTCGTAGTTTTCTTGATCCAAACGTTGGACCGTTTCTGCCTCTAACAATGGTTTCCGTCGTTGCTGGTTTCTCTTTTTTCCGTCACAGCACCGAGATCACCACGTAGAGCTCCAGTAAAATGTGTTCAGACTGTGGAGCGCACGTTTGATGAAGCTTTGAATCAGTAGTAAAATGAATCGAGGAACTTAATGAATCAAAGTCATCATTTGCATTATTTTTTTACTGTGTGGGCATCGGAACGAGCCCCCGCACTGTGAGAAACACAAACATCCCAGCTCTAAAGTCGATCTTCATCCACATACGTCACATGATCAGGAAGCAGAAAATCTATGTGTTAGCAGATTGTTTTGGGACGCTGCTGTAAAAAAAGTTAGACAAGAACCGGAAAAGCTTCTACCGATCACAATTCAACAACGGATTTTGAAAGAACAGATAACACTCAAAATGCGCGGATTCTTCCTGATGTAAGAGGCGAGTCTCCACTTTGTGTTGGTAGTTTTGGCGTTGACATCATCATAGAGCAACGTTCTGTGACTCTTAAAAAAACAGTATAAACGCTGAAAAACACTGGCAGCGAAGAGCTTTTCTGATCAGGAAACGGCTGGCAAATTCTAATTTGTGGCGCGCAACCAGGGTCCGAAATTAAATTTTTTACTCACCGGCCAAGTTGGCCGGTAGATGATGAAAATCTACCGGCCAAGCATATTTTTTACCGGCCAAAATTCTAAATGATTTAGATCTACCTAAAGCATGTTATTCTATATTATGTTGATTCCAGAGTGACAAAATAATTAAAACTTCAATTAATAAGAAAAACAACTCTTTTGTAATTTTTACTATTTATTTATTTTTAGAGATGTTTTTATGAACTCTTTCACTGAAATCTAGTCAGACTCCTTGTTTTCTCTGTCCATGAAGTCTGGCCTCCTGCTTCTGACACCGTCTTTGTGCCAAAGCATTACAGCCTCATTTGGGTCATAGTCCTTGATCTCTGGAGAACACAGCTGCAACATGAGAATATCTGAAAGTGTGTCAGGGCAAGGGTTGTCACGGTAACCGGTGTAGCGGTAAACCCCGGTAAAAAAGTAGACAATAATAATAACAGTCTTGTTTTAAAAAATATTATCTCGGTGGATTACCGTGTCTGCGGTGTAGGCGCGGTGACCCTTACCAGCCACCGTATGCCGGCGGCACATGCGCACTTTGTTGTTTACGACAAAAACTTTCTTTAAGCTAAAGCTGAAATAATGGCTAAAGGAGGTGACGGCAGCGCTCGGGACATTTATTATCCCTCAAAGAAGACAAAGTCGGAAGTATGGGCATTTTTTGGATATTTGAAGAATGCCGAGGGACAGTTGTCTGTGAAACGCAGCAACCCTACGTGGCCATCATAATGTAGCCATTGTCTCACGACTCCGCCATCTCCAGTTCGCTACTTTTCACAAAATCTTCTGGTTGCCACTGGTCCTGGTGGTTTTTCTTCCAGTTCGACGAGTTTTCTTTTGGAAGGCTGGCTGACTCCAGTTAAAAACCGCCACATTTCACCACTAGTGTTAACACGAAGCTAACTGCTAACTTGATAACCTGAATGAATGGGATAGGTGGAAATAACGTTGGATGCGACGTTCACGTTTCGCGTACGTTTGTGTACGTTGCGTGCAGGCAGGAGGAGTATCAGAAATCCGTGGAAGATGACTGATAAACATAACTAATTTGGTGCAAACATTTACTCGCCAGGTGGCAGGTAGAGCTCAAAAATTTACTCGCCAAATGGAGCAATTTGCTCGCATTTGGCGAGGGTTAATTTCGGACCCTGCGCGCATCCATAAAATAATCCATGTTTAGTCTTCTTCTGTGTTCACAAATCAGTGAATCATACCTTAATCAGTCACATGCACAAACCACGGCCCATCATCATTTATTGGACTAATGGTGGACGAATGGAAAAACAGCCCAACCCTAGTGTGGGCTACGGGAGCTGCAATACTTACTCTGAACTGCGTGGCGCTAAAGAGTCGAATGTTTTTACACACTGGGCCTTTAAGCTCTAAACCACAGCGACATGCTGAAGCAACAGCAGTCATACGTGCTGTCAGCGCCATTGCCGTCGTGTCTGCAGCATGCTGTCTCCCCAACTGTGATTGGTCAAATGATGATGCGTGACTGATGCTACAACAAAGGCAGGTTGTGAACAAGATGAAAACCTCTCCTGTCTCTGACTGATTCTCGTAGTGACTGAAACCCGACAGAAGACCAAATAGTTCCCACAGCTTAATCTCACCGCTCCCCATGGGGACGGGTCAAATGCAGGACGTAACTTCACCAGTGTGTGACGATGACTTTGGGACTTTAACTCCCCTCAAAACAAAAAATTCTTAGGATCAAAGCGAGTCACATGACCACTATACTTGGACTCAAAAATCATTCATTGGAGAGATCTATTCACACTAAAACTTCAAGGTTCTACAACAGTCTGTGAATGAGTGAATGACTGGTTGTGATGTAAAACACCTTGGGGTTTGTTAGAACCCCGGTAGTGCTAAACATATACAGATCAATATTTTAAAGATTGAACCTCATTCTCATAATTTCACTGTAATGTCCCACCATAGACTGACAATATATTCATTCATCCACCAGTACCTGTGTCCATGCTGTCCAGGTCCAGGTGGTGAAGAACACACGATGAATCAGTCCCAGCTGATGGATGATCCTGAAGTGGTAGCAGGTTTTCTTTAGCCGTGTTTAGCTAACAGCTGCAATAGAAACAAAGCAGGAGAGCTGATTAAGATGCTGCTTCAGAACAACGCAGGAGATTAAAGATCCAACGCTTTGGTTCTGGCCAAATGAACAGCAGCAGATCCAGAGGGCAGGAAGTCTAGAGAAAAGCTTTTCTCACCCACAACCTGATTCTGGAGCTCCGATTGTCACGAAGACCGCAGAATATCTTCTCTGGTTCTGGAAAGAACTCCACCAAGTTGTTGAGGAGGAGAAGAAAGTTTCCACAGCCTGGTGAGAAGATTTCTGCAGCAGCAGCAGTTAGTCGCTTTAGCTGATCAACTCTCCCAGAGACTGAAGTGAAGACATTTTTACTGCAGAGCCTCAAATATTCTCCTCACACACCAGAACAACAACAAGCTAGCTCTGTTAGCAGCTTCCGGTTTCTGCTTTTTCCGGTGGTCGGTGACCAGCGAAAAGGTGCACTACCGCCACCTGCTGGAGCAGAATAAAACACACCTGTGTGTTCAGAATGGGACTAATAAAACACATAACGTGATATCTTCCTCAAACAATTACTTAAAGTAAAGACAAGTTAGTTTTACACCTGTTATAACAATCTTGTTATTTTCTCAATTTTTATTTCAATCTTGTTTGATTTCATCTCATCTGTTTCTCTTTGATGTAAAGCTGATTATGTGTCTGTTGCTGCTGCCTCTTGGCCAGATTGATGTTGTAAATGAGAATGAGTTCTCTATCTGGTTAAATATATTTCTGATACACACACACACACACACACACACGTATATATATATATATATATATATATATATATATATATATATATATATATATATATATATATATATATATATATGTATGTATGTATGTATGTATAGTTTTATGGTGGGCTGGTTTGATTAATGTGTGTGATACGCTGGGCGATCAACTGGTTGAGACACCAACCAGTCCTGCTACATGTACATACAAACAGTCCAAAGAACTGGGTGTGAGCGTGTGGCCCCCCACATACGGCCCTTTGAACACCCAGATGGTCTGTTACACATAAGTTTCTGGTTCTGATCAAGCGGTCAACAATATTTACATACAAACAGTCCCAAGTCAATATATACGTCTGTGGTCACAAGTCCTGGGTGTGAGTGTAGCCTCTTTGTGGCCCCCTATAACATGATGAACACAGGTTTTAAAAACTCTGGACATCTCCTGTGATTTAGATTCATCATACATGTCCCCCAGTTTCAGCTGAGTGTCTCATTTAGTAATAAAACATGATCTAGGTCTAGAAGCAAACTCTTGTTCATCATTGATTGTTTTTTTCTGTGACCCCCCCCCCCCCCCCCCTTTTTTTTTCTCTTTCACCTGTGACATTAAAGCAGAAGCTTTGGTGCTCCACCTGAGAGTAAATCTATCAGGCTTGTCACCAGCATTCAGACATTAATTCTGTTAGCTTCATAGCCAGACAGGACGGGGGGTGGGTGGGGGGGTGGGGGGTGGGGGTTGCAATCGCGGACGGTTGGACGCGCAAAAACATGGCAGACCGGCAAGAACTAGTATGGCAGAGGTTCGTAAATACAGACATTTGTATGATTCAGCTCTCAGAGATCACCGTGATCAACATGTTGTAAATAATTCTTGGAGAGAAATAGCTCGCACTGTCGGAAAAGACGAGCACGCTGTTAAAAATGCTGGAATGCCGTGTTGTAAACAGTAACTTCTACTTCTACTATGGTGTAGTGTTGGATGCATGCTGTAGAGCTCCACGCTGCCCCGTTCAGTTTGGGAGAATATTGGCTCACCGCAGAGACGAGCCGCACGAACCATAAACGCTGCGAGTTGTGAAGCGTGTTCCATCCACGAGCCGCATCACCAAGCAGAAAGTGAATGCGTCAAGCATAAACCAAGCTTTACCTAGGTGTGCGTTGCGGAAATTCTGGGCCGTGCAGAGGCGCGGTGGAGGGGCGTGGTTGTTAAAATGACGCAAAATGACGCAATTTTTCCGCACACGCGTCAAGCATAAACCAACCTTGACGCCCTCCCACAGTCACTCCAAAGGGATTAGCAGGGCTGACACATGTTTAGCCGTCAGAGGCGAGGGGCTCATGCTGCAATATTGCTACCAAGCGAGGCGGAACGAATGCCGCATTATTCGCGCAACGCCATGCCTGCATGGCGCATTTATAGACATACCATTGCAGTAATATTACAGTGATATGACAGCATGGTGTGTCCTATACTAGCACCTCATGTGACAATTGAGTTTTATTCTCCTTAAATATATCTGCTGTTCAATTTCACTTAAGGAGTTTTAATTTAGCAGTATTTATCTCCTGTTGACAAATTTTAGGCATTATTAAAATGACATTGTGCATTGTTGATGTACTCTGAAACAACCTTATTTTACTGACTCTATGTGAAGTTGAAAAATTTATTTTGTATTTAGGACTGGTTTCGTTGTTAGTTAACTTCAGTGTTGGAAGCAAACAAATAAAATAAAAAGGTCACTTGGTTTCGGACATATTCCCTGAATTAGCTCTGATGATGTAAATAAAGGTGAACGTTTCTGGCAGAAGGAGAGCAAAACACATAGAGCCTATGACATTTTTATTTTGTGATATGAGCTTGTGGATGCTTGACGAGCTCCCCTTTTCCCCCAGAAGGGTTGATTCTTTTTGATTTTGTTAGATTACAATCTTCTGCAACAGCTCTTCTACAGCGATTTCTCCTGTCACTTATAGGCGATGTGGATCACATTTTGTGTTTATTTTCATTTTTTTCTTACACTGATTAAGGCAGTCTGTTAGTTGTTTTGTTTTGTTTGTTTAATGCATGCTGTGCTGCACGGCTCTGCCCCCTGCTGATGTAAACTGGTGATTGTAAGTTCCTTGGGATGGGTATTTTTAGCTTTTAGAGGAGCCATGTAATGCAAGATCCAACTTTTGCATCGGTTTGCACTGCCTTGTGGGTCTCGGCTGCCTCTGTATACATTTTGCACACAGCATCTGTCCACCAGTCGGTGTGGCAACATATGCTATGCTTAATTGCTTGCCGGCATCGGACCTGTTTTGCTTATATCCTTTTATGCCTCTTTTACTCTGGTGAGCCATGAGTTATCTCATGTCTCAAGAGGAGGGACGGCGGTTAACGATTTTCCTACACAAACTGTTAGTTAGTTACATAGAGGAATGATGCATTAACAAGTAGCAAGGTGCTGTGCACCCACCTGTGTGCCTCTGTTATAAGATAAGTAAATAGAACATACTTGTGAATGAGGTAATGGCTGGATGTTTGAGACCTGTAATTTGAGCTGAAAGAACTTTTGTTAGTACAACTGTGGATGAGAATAACTGGAGTCCAGAGTGACAGAGAAAATACTTTAAATAATGGATGGTAAGAATTTTTGCTGAAAACAAGTCAAAATCAACAGGATCTCCCAGAATTTTTTGTACTTTTTCACCCACAGGTCGTGAAACCAGGAAATTGGGCTCTGATGAAGGTGCTGAAACAAGACAATTGGGGTAGCCAGAGGTGAGAAGGTCCATTCAAAGTACTCCTCACCACTCCTACTGCTGTGAAGATTGCTGAGAGGTCATCTTGGATTCATCTATCCCACTGCAAGCTCATCAGCGTCAACTGAACGCTATTAGAGCGCAACGAAGTCCGGCTTTCAAAGGCGTGATGTTAACAATAGGTACTCACATCTCAATCCCGGTGAAGATGAAGATCTGCTTCAAGCTTGCTGGTTTCACCACATTGTTGATGTTGGTGCACGTTCATGGCCCTGCACTTGGGCCGCCTCTCAGCATCTGATGGAACGACTGGGACAGCAGCATCTGACTGGAACTGGATCAACGGATTGGGGCTCCTCCCTGACGTCACACCTACATGAATACGTAACCTGCACCCACCTCAGCTGAAGACCCCCTGGACGCAACTACGACAGGACACAGCGAAGAAGATACGCTGGAAAACGCGAACTACTTCAATCACCTGCACCCAATCTCCAACCAGGTTTCACGGTCAAAGGATCAGAAGGACTTTCGGGGACAAGATCAGCTCCCTGACAGGTGGACAACCACCTCAACACGCCATGGAAGGACCCAGACGTCTCCCTACTGAGAAGTTGAACTGTGCGCTCTCACATCCCAAACTCCATTCTTGCATTCCAGACCTGGACTTCAAGGAACTCATCAACTTAAGACTGAAACCATCCTGATCAACGGACGAGGACTCTAACCGTTCCAAACCGTTCTTCAACCGGGACTCTCAGTCCATGGACAAGCCCTTTGATGAAGAACGCCTGGTTTGCCTCAGCTTCTGCCATAGTTAGAGCTGCATGAATTGATACTACCTGTTCCTCATTCACAGAAACAGCCGTGTGCGACCTGTAGCTTTAAATTCATCTGATGTTTCAATAAACTCTACTGATGTTTTCTGTGTATTATATGGTCTTGCTAATCCTTCCCAATCTCTTTACAGGAACTGCTCTAAATTGTAGAATTGTTGCATCACAGTAAATTCACGTCAACATGTATGAAATAGCTCTTCTTTAGTTTATGATGGTGTTGATTTCACTGATTTCCATTATCTCACTTGTGTCTCTGTAAGCTGCTGTTTGATGTTATAGTCAGTTGTCAACCAATCAATCAACTTTATTAACAGACTCAAGGTCCAGAGACAATAAAAACAAACATAAGATAAAAATTACACAAGACAGAAATAAAAAGAAGTCAATATACTTACCTATACCAATAACGCCATAATTCAGACTGATAGCATGTGGTACTACAGCCAACATTAACCAAGCACTTAATAATAACATTTTCACATTGATTAACTCGGCAAAGAAACTTAAACATCAAGTTCTTCAACGTAGCATGGAATGTACTGATCCAAGAAGAGACAAACAAGCAACTCGCACTTTCCCAACGAGGCCTCTTTAGACAATCATTATATGCTGCATTAAGATGCCTAAGACTTGTTTGCTTATAGGAAGACCACAAATGAGCTGTATATAGTTGTGTACAGTATAATTTAAAGTGTCTTTTTAACTGCATTAGTGCACATACTAAACCTACGCACTAACATATTTGCCCGTGCAAACATTCTATGACATTGATGATCAATATCATCATCATCAGCCAATTCATCATTAATAAAGTGCCCCAAATATTTATATTTGTCCATCACAGGCAAAACATTACCACATTATTGAAATTGGGGAAACTGCAACCCTTTATCTTCTTTTGTTCTACAGGTCATGATGACACTCTTACTAGAATTGTAATTGATGCCAAAATCCACCCCATACTTTGAGCAAATATCTAGCAGTTCCTGTAATCCCACACTACTAGGACTCAGGACGACAAGATCGTGAGCATACATAAGATGGTTGACCAGGGTTGATCCAATCATACAACTAGTTCTGCAGTTATTTAACTGCTGTGACAGTTCATCCATGTACAAGTTGAAAAGCACAGGAGAGAGTACCCCGCCTTGCTTTACTCCATTAGTAGCACCAAAAGGAGCAGAAAATCTACTTCCCCATCTCACCTGCACATCCTGTTTAGCATACCAGTAGACTAGGATTCTCAGAATGTACTTAGGAACCCCTCGTTGTAGCATTTTAACAAACTGTTTCAGATGATTTACACGGTCAAAGGCTTTAGACGCATCAATAAAGGATAATAACACAGACGAGTTGTCTCTTTGAAAGTTCCTAATGATTTCTTTTAAAGCAAATATGCACAAATCTGTGCTAAGCTTAGACTTGAAACCAAACTGATTATCTGTAGAGTAGATAAAGTCCTTTAGCCTACTTAGTAGCAGTTTTTCCATAACCTTCCATAAACAATGCTTGCCAATGCAACGGGCCTATAGTTGTCCATGCTACCTGCTCTACCTGCTTTGTCTTTTATGACAGGGACCAGAATAATAGACATAAGTGTATCAGGCAGAATGCCATGTATCAAACAACTAGTAAAACAGATGGCCAGTAGAGGTACTAACCTAAAGTTAGCACATTTCAGATGTTCCGTGTATATCAAAGTCAAAGTCAAAGTCGTTTTAATGTCACTTCTACCACATGTGCAAATATACAGAGGAATGCAATTGAGTTTCAGTACACACAATTCAGAGATCAGACATACATGGGTAAGACACATAACAAGAATTGGTGACTGTGGTCCTTCGCAACATGAGTCGCGCTACCTTAATAGATGAAAAAGGGAATTACATGAGGATAGGTTGGGGGAGGGAAAAAAAGGCATACCAGAGTTACTCCCAGTAGGGCGTAGCTGTACTATGCAAAAAAACGCCTCAACATTTAAGCACAAACATCACATTTCACAACATGAGACTCCGATAGGGAGGCGGGGGGGATCCTGTTTCCCCAGGGCCTAGCAGCTATGTGTGGCGCTCAGCCAGCTGTATCTGCAGGAGGGAGGGAGAAGCGCAGAGCACATTGAGTTTCATGCAGATTGATGACATCGCTATGCAGAAGTCCACAATCTGAAGGCGGGGGGTGGGGGGGTGGGGTGGGGGGGGGGGGGGGGTGGACAGGTCTCTCTCTCTCTCTCTCTCTCTCTCTCTCTCCAGGTAATGGGTTTATTGATAAATATATTGATAAAATCCCTAACACTCAACCGCAAGCCAATCGGCAGTTTCAAGTTGATGTAGGTAGACAGCTCAAGTTCCCAGAAAACATAACAGCTGTCTCTCTGCCCAGATATGGTGATAACATCTGAGTCCACCAAGCAAGCGGTCCTAGAACTGACAGTCCCTTGGGAAGACCGTATCGAGGAGGCCCACGAGCGAAAGAGGGCCAAGTATGCAGAGCTGAGCTCGGAGTGCCGGAACAACGGCTGGAAAGTTCGCTGTGAGCCTGTCGAGGTTGGGTGCTGAGGCTTTGCTGGCCACTCACTGCTGCGAACCATCTAACTCCTTGGAGTAAGAGGACTGCAACTGAAGAAAGCCACCAAAACCATCCTCGAGGCCGCAGAGAGGGCCTCGCAGTGGCTGTATATCCGCAGGGGGGATCCGTGGAGCAATAGGCCACTTGGACCCAAGCTGGGGACTGATCACCCTCAGCTGGGTCGCCCGGGTGAGGGTGTGTGCAGATTAAAGACCCGAAACACCCTATGACTCCGGGTTCTTCACTGATGACGTGTCCAAGTAGCACTGGAAGGTATATTCAAATTCTAGTAGATGATGTAAAGTTGGTTCCAGACGTCGGAGGTGTGGCAAGTCTAAAAGAGGAGGAGCAGCTAAGTTGGTTGGGCAAAGACAGTGAGTATAGATGGACAGATTCCTGAGTGGGTTTTCCAAGTGGCTAGGGAGGAATAGAATCAAGAGTCCAGGAATCGATGGTTCTAATACACTGGGGAGTAGGCTGAGAAACTAATAGAGGACCAGGAATTATTTTCTTACGGTTGACGGTGGAGGGCAGAGCAGGTGACGCACGGCAGAAACTAAGCTGCTGAAGAGGACTGAGAGCAGGATGGCAGTGATGATACGAGGAGACTTGGGAGCCAACGGAGGGTATTTCCAGGAGGGCGAAGTTCAGAAGAACGAGCCTTAATCACAGGAATCAGGGAAACCGGAGCCAGGTCACTAAGGAGACAGAACAATGAATTAGAGAATTAAATCTGAAGACTGTTAGATCAAGACCTCAGGGGCTGGAGGTTACCACAAGGTGCAACACTCTTGCGGTGTGCGTTTGGCTTCCAGTTGCTTTTATCCATAGCAGTTGATGAGTAATGATGCGCATCTGAGTCGAGCGTGACCACGGTGCCCTCCAGAGGCCAACCTATAGACTCAAGGGAAAAAGAGACGAAGGTGAGAATGAGCAGAACTGGACCCAAGACCCTGACAGGGAGGTGCACTTTAACTCAGGAGGGAAGAAAATAATCTGCTCGTTTTGTTTATATAATTGTTTAAAACCCAGATCATAGTTGTAATTAAAATTTGATTAATTGAGCAACCCTAGTTTGAACTGGACAGATAAGGGTGTGGCTACAGAAAAATATAATCAGAGAGTCGTCTCTTCGGACTCTCAGGGACACACGGGCAGTTCGCTTCGGCTTAGAGGTCTCCAGTTATGCCTGTGGGCAACATTACTCATGCACTACTTTTTATATTTGATAGCTAAAACTGCTTTAATCTTAATTTTGTCTGGTTTCCTTCTCATGAAACAAATTTAGCAGAATCACAGATTAAATCTCAAAAACACTCACATTTTATTATCTTTGATAAGACAGAAGCTTAGGATTCGTCACTTTCTGAAGTCCCGACTATTCACCCTGCCAACAAGTTCTCTGGACATAACGTACGAAAAGACAGTTATTTCTTTTTTGTTGGAGATCTTTTTAACCAAACCTGGTGACTCAAATCTTTAAAACTACATATTTTATCATCTTGGTTAGGATTGAAGCTTAGGATGGAATCTGTGAAAAAATGAGACTTAACTAGACAAGACAGCTTTATTTATATAGCACATTTGCCAAACAAAGGCAACTCAGTATGCTTTACAGCAATAAAGGACAAAACAAAAATGAACAATAGAATTAGAAATAAAACACTGAAGACTAAAACTAGAAAACACACACAGTCCTGTAGATGAATGAAGGACAGAAAAGTTAAATTCAGAGAAAAAGCTTCTGCCGATCACAATTAAACAACGGATTATGAAAAATCAGATAACGCTTGAAACGCACAGATTCTTCCAGATTTTGGAGGTGAGTCTACTCTTTGTTTTGCTATTTTTGGCATTGGCATCATACTAGCGCGCAACGTTCTGTGACTTTTAAAATACAGTGAAAACGCTGAAAAACGCTGGCAGCGAAGGGCTTTTCTGATCAGAAAACGGCTGGCAGTGAATGAGTTAAACACCGTGTAAAAACACAGAAGTCACTTGACACAAATGAACATGGGTCAGTCGGGAGCACAAACAACCAAGCCCCACCCCCGCAGCAGAGATCTCACGAAGTACATGTTTGAAAAGTGCAGAGTTTTGACCCTAATAGCATACATTGGTAAAGTCTTACTCGAACACAAAAACACTGCTTGCTTGCAATCATTTAGATTTGTACTGCCCCCAATTGCCAGGGAAAGTAAACACCGTAACTTTAAATTTGTCCACAGAGCTCACAAACAGAAGGTTTCTATCCAGTGTGGACTCTCATGTGCTTGAATAAAAATTTCTTTTGTCCATATCTTTCTCCACAGAGCTCACAAGCAAATGGTTTATGTCCTGTGTGTACTCTCATGTGATCGTTTAAAGTCGACTTTTTGGTAAATCGATTTCCACAGAGCTCGCAAGCAAACTGTTTGTCTTCTGTGTGGATTCTCATGTGAGTGTTTAAACCTGACTTTTGGGTAAATCTTTTTCCACAGAGCCCACAGGCAAAAGGTTTATGTCCTGTGTGGACTCTCATGTGCTTGTTTAAAGTCGACTTTTCGGTAAATCGATTTCCACAGAGCTCGCAAGCAAACTGTTTTTCTTCTGTGTGGATTCTATTGTGAGTGTTTAAACCTGACTTCTGGGTAAATCTTTTTCCACAGAGCCCACAGGCAAAAGGCTTCTGTCCTGTGTGGATTCTCATGTGATTGTTTAAAGTTGACTTTTGGGTAAATCTTTGTTCACAGAGCTCACAGGCAAAATGTTTCTGCCCTGTGTGGATTCTCATGTGATTGTTTAATGTTGACTTTTGAGTAAATTTTTGTCCACAGAGTTCACAGGCAAAAGGTTTACGTCCTGTGTGGACTATCATGTGCTTGTTTAAAGTTGGCTTACGGGTAAATCTTTGTCCACAGAGTTCACAGGCAAAAGGCTTCTGTCCTGTGTGGACTATCATATGATTGTTTAAAGTTGACTTTTGGGTAAATCTTTGTCCACAGAGCTCGCAAGCAAACTGTTTTTCTTCTGTGTGGATTCTCATGTGAGTATTTAAAGTTGACTTTTGGGTAAATCTTTGTCCACAGAGCCCACAGACAAAAGGTTTCTGTCCTGTGTGGACTCTCATGTGACTGTTTAAAGTTGACTTATGTTTAAATCTTTTTCCACAGAGCTCACAGGCAAAAGGTTTCTGTCCTGTGTGGACTCTCATGTGATCGTTCAATGTTGACTTATAGGTAAACCTTTGTCCACAGAGCTCACAGGCTAATGGTTTCTGTCCTGTGTGGACTCTCTGGTGTCTGTTAAAGCTTGGTTTTCCCCTTAATATTTTTCCATAGTCACCACAACTAAATGATTTTAGTTCTTTCTGGGCTTCCCTATATGAGTCTACAGGTTGCTTAAGTCCAACAGATTTTTTATTAACCAAAGGGCTAGAAGACCTTATTGCTGAATGACTGGTTACTCTCACGTGTTTCTGGAGAGACTGCTTGTCATGAAATCGTTCACCGCACTCAAGACAGCTAAAGGATATGTTGACTGTCTGAACATCTGACTCAGAAGACCTTTTCTCATTCCAGTCATGGTCTTCGTCTCCAGTTTCAGACCCAGAGTCTGACAACCCAGAGTCTAGATTCATATAATCATCTCCACTAACTTCAGTCTCTGAAGAATCAGATGTTTGTTCATGAGGGTTCAGATCTGGGCTCCTGCTAGTTCCTGCTCCTCCACCAGTTTCTGCTGCCATCTGGTCAGCTGAGCTGCTGGTTGGAACATCTCTGTCTTCTATTTGCTGCTGATGAAGCTGTGAGACCAGAGGTTTCTCTTCATCATCCTCACTCTTTATAGAAACAGCACTGAACTGAAACCAGGCAGAATCAGTCTCCTCCTTCAAATGGAGATGCTCTCCCTCCAGACTGGTCCAGAGCTCCTCCTGTTCCTCCTTTATGTGGAGGTGTTCTGGGTCCTGCTGGTCCACACCAGCACTCTGTTCTTCAGGATCTTCTTCTTTAACCAGCACCAGCTGTTGAACACCTGTAGGAAACAGAAACACATAACGTGAAATACCGACTGCTGTAACTTTAAATTCACACATATGAGAGTTGTGTTATTGCAGGGGTCTCCAACATGTTGGTCGTGAGCTACCGGTAGCTCTTGAAAGTCGCTGGCCTGGAAGCAGCCAGTGAGCCGCCCAGCCTGACTTGTAATTAACAAGGGACGGATTTCTAATTTGATGGCAAGCCTTCCCCAGTTCTCGTAATATCTCATGTAAAATTAGAATTTTGTGGAAGTAAAATAAAATCTGATTATTGCACAAATCTTTCAGCAAATGTGTCCTACTGGAAATATGTGGAATGGATTAATTGCTCAGGTTGCAGTGCGGATCCCCGTTTCTGATATCAGCGGCTGCAGCTGCAGGTGCTTCTAAAGACGAGGTGACGTCGGTCACACAGACCTGGTTTCAGAAAAACATCCTCAATAAAATATTGTGGGTGACTGAAAGTCCTCTCTGCGTAAATATGTCGTTAAAGCAAATTAAATGCCCTTCGCTTATTAACACGATTAACAGGCTTCCAAAGTCTGGACATCTCCGGTCATTTAGTTTCAACAAATTTCCTTCAACAGTTTCAGCTGATTGTCCCGTTTAGGAATAAAACACGATTCTTAAATCTCTCTCTCTCTGCTCTGTGTTGCTCATCCGTCAGACCCGCTGATCCAGAGGCAGAGAAAAAGCTTAAACCTCCAACCCTGCTTTAATGTTGTCAACAATAAATGCAGCAAAGCATTTATTGTTGACAGGTTAATCATTCACAGAAAGTAGATTTGTTATTCATTATCTGAAAGTATCTGATTAGTTAATAAACAAAATATTTTGTTTAGTTTGATTTTCAGAATCTCATTTTCTTCCTTGTACTTTTTTATAATATTGATGTATTGAAATACAGAGAAATCAACTAACATAAGCACATTCACACATGGACATGAACACATCGTATGGCAGTAGCTCTTCTGTACTTTCATTAAGTAGCTCACGAGCCCAAAAAGGTTGGAGACGCCTGGATTAATGCTTTAAGTTGGTGAAATCAGAAACGACTCAAATTACAGGAAATCTCTTTTGAATTGAGAAACTTTTTCTTGGGAGGTGAATAAAAAATGTAGGCTTACTAGTTCCAGACCAACAAAAGCCCGTGTTACTCTGAAGTTCAGGTTATGTTACTGACAACAATAGACAGACATAGACTTACAAATATACACAAAAAACAAAAAAATACAGTTTGAAGATTAAGAGGAATTCTCAGCGTAGCACAACCACAAAGTGTAGATTTGAAATTTAACTCACAAAAATTAAACAAAAACAAAATAAAACTTTCTGGTACCCACAACACATTCATGCTGTTATTTTAGCACTTTAATTTGTATTTGTTCCTTTAAATAACTATTATTAACACTCAATGGTTTACTTTGTGGATCAACCAAGCCCCCATAATACTGGTATGAAACTGAAGCCAACACGGAAGTGACAAAAAAATTGCAGTTCCACCCTCATCCACTAGGGGGCTGGTGTCAGAAGCGAGCAAATCCTCATTGACTCCCATGTTAAAAATACCAATTTCACAGCAGAAATAAACATGTTTACAGCCTGGTACCAAAACATGTTTTAGGTTTAATAGATCTAGTTTACACTCATGACAACTCTGAGGGGGTGAGTGTTTTTCTCACTCTTCTGTTTAAGTGTATTAAATGTCTAAAATTCTGAATAATTAATGAGCATCAGACCCACGTGACCACAGAGCTAGCTCCGGGGAAAGGCCTCAGCTTGAGCCTCGGTCTGGCCTGAAAACTGTCCCGCCGTTTTCTGTCTCTCAACTTAGACCATTAGTTGTAGCGTTTGTGCGTTCTTTTTGGATATTTTTTGTGCAATTGTTGGACAAAATGACTTGCTGTGGCATTAATTGCATTAATAGAGCGTCCAAGGAGTCTCCACTTAATTTTTTTCGGTAAGTAAAATTATATTTATGTATTTTAGGTCACTGCCGAGCTTGGATTTTAACATGTACTGTTTAACCGTGACATTTAAATTTAATAGGTGCATTTAACATAACGCTGCATTTTTGAAAATGGGTTGAAATATGATATGTTGGTGGAGCTGGGTTCCGACTATCAGTATGGTAGTGATGTCACTTGTGACACGCAGGATTCGAAGCTTGTATCACCAAAACGAACCACCGCAGAGCAAAGCACTGTGTCGGAGCTTGATTTGTTTACTGAAAGTCACGTGACCAATGAGCAACGATGCTTCATTCACCCTTCCACCCACGTGACCGCTTCACACGTTGTTTCAAACATTTAAAGCAACGCAAACCGAGAGGCGCAGGTTTATGGCAAGCCAAATGAGCATTTATTCTGATATCAGGAGAGCATTTATTCTGATATCAGGATGTCAGCCAGAATTGTCATGAACATGTAAGCCATTTCTGTCCACTAGTTAACTAGTTAGCCATGTTTGTGTCAACTAGTTAAATAGTGACAGCCTAAATGTCAACTAGTTAACTAGTAAGGCCTAAATTCTCTCTAGTTAACTAGTTAAAATGTTTCATATCTTACTAGTTAACTAGTATTGCTCAGTGTGTTCACTAGTTAACTAGTGGGTACATTTTCACCCTTGATATTTAACTAGTTGACACAAACATGGCTAACTAGTTAACTAGTGGACAGAAATGGCTTATATGTTCATGACAATTCTGGCTGATATCCTGATATCAGAATAAATGCTTATTTGGCTTGCCATACAGGTTTGTATATCCTGAGATTGACGGTTCAGGATTCAGTATTCAGTGATTAAACACCGAGTAGCAAAAATGGATCCTGTAGCAAAAAGAGGGCGTTCTGAGATGTGGGAATGTTTCAATTTAATCTCTCCAAATAAGGTTTGACCAGATGCCCAAGTGTATCCTCCGGATCGAAAGGAGCCAGTTGAGGTGGTTTGGGCATCTGGTCAGGATGCCTCCTGGACGCCTCCCCGGGGAGGTGTTTCGGGCATGTCCTGCCGGCAGAAGGCCCCCGGGTCGACCCAGGACACGTTGGAGAGGTTACATCTCCAATCTGGTCCGGGAACGCCTTGGGGTCCTGCCAGAGGAGCTGGTGGAGGTGGCCGGGGTGAGGACGGTCTGGAGCTCCCTAGTTGGGATGCTGCCCCCGCGACCCGGACCCGGATAAGCGGAGGAAGACGACGACGAGACGACAAATAAGGTTTGAAAATGTATTTGGTCTAGTCTAGTAAATTACCTTTATAGTAGTAATACTTGGTGCATATTGTAGGGCTATATCTTTTAGACCGTCTGTCATTTTCCTTTAATTAAATTAAAATCTAGTTTGGTATGATTTTTCTTCTTTTATTGGTAATTAATATAATAGTTGATGAGCTTTTCAGTTTGGTTGTACATGTGGAATTTAGTATGGCCTATGTGAATTTTCTAATCTTCATTTTGTTACTCTATTTCTAAAAAAGATACATAAATTGAGCTAATTATTCCTGCCTAATAATCCAATAGAAATGTGAAAAGTAAAATATTTGAATATGTAGAGAATGTTAATATGTGTAAATTAGATATATTTCATCACGTATCCCATAAAAATAAACATTGTTTCATTTCAAGTATTCACACCAAGAAAAGCAATTTTAGTGTATTTAATGTAATGTTCAAATTCAAGATACTATTATATGATCCTGAGGAAGCTTTTTAATGCTTTATTTGTCCATAAAGTTCAATACACCATTCATTTTCAGTAGAATTGGCTGACAATACAATGAAATACAAACATTAACCAGCAGATGTCCTCCCAGAGTTTTGAAGCATTGAACCTTGAACCTTTTTTCAATACAATTGGATTGTAAAGCTTTGTTGGTTCAAAAGGCTTCACATCATCATCACTGTATGGTCCCCTCCCCCCAGCGGCAGCCCGGCGTATCTCTGACTCAGAAGCTCCGGTGTTGTGCACAGGTAACTCCGGTTGTAGCTAGGTAGCTACCTCCTTTAGCTTAGCTCCCACCTCCACGTTAGTTTTGGGTTAGCTTGTAGCTACATCGCCTCAGTTCGGCAGGTCCCTGAGGTCCAGTGATCAAAGCCTACTGGTTGTGCAGCACCAGGCTAAAGACCAAAGGTGACAGATCATTTGCTGCTGTGGCCCCCAGACTCTGGACCTCTCTCCCCCTGAGCCTGAGATCAGTGGACTCAGTGGTCTCCTTTAAAAAGCAGCTGAAGACTCACTTGTTCAAGCTGGTTTTTGTATGACCTTCTTCACCACTCTCTCTTTATTCTGCTCTCCCCACCTATTCCACCTTCCTCAGGATCCACTGATTTCCCTCTTTCCTGTTCACTCTCTCGCTTTCTTAACATTTTTTTAATCCAAATTGCCTATTTTGGCTCATTTTAAATATATTTTTAAACATTTTCTAAATGCTTTTTTATATTTTTACATTTTTTGTGAAGCGCCTCGTGATTTTTATCTTGAGAGGCGCTGTAGAAATGATATTTTCTTCTTCTTCTTCATAAGGACCTGAAACCCAGCTCTTCTCATTGTGGACGTCAAACTAGCAACCAGGGTGATTTCAACCAGTCACAAACTAGATCCATCTTTCCTAGAGAAAAACTTAATGACACACTAACCCAGGTGTTTTAATTGTTTTGCATGTTTCATTTTTTTTTATTTCGATTTCAGGTTTTTAATTCTATTTAGTTTCATCTGAGCTCTTCTATCATTTGTTTGATCATTTTAGTAAACAAAGATAAAATTCAATCACTGCCTCCTCGTCTTGAAGTCCTGCTGTTAAAATTAAAGTTAGTTCAATAGTTCAAAAGCTCTGGAGCTTCTCTCCTCTGTGAAGAAAGAACCAGAGAGGTTCGGACCGAGCTGCTGCAGCAGACTAAAACACAACACGGACATTTTTAATGATAACACCTCATGGGAGAGGCACTGTAATGTCCCACCATGCAGTCATAATATATTCATTCATCCACCAGTACCTGTGTCCATGCTGTCCAGGTCCAGGTGGTGAAGAACACACGATGAATCAGTCCCAGCTGATGGATGATCCTGAAGTGGTAGCAGGTTTTCTTTAGCCGTGTTTAGCTAACAGCTGCAATAGAAACAAAGCAGGAGAGCTGATTAAGATGCTGCTTCAGAACAACGCAGGAGATTAAAGGTCCAACGCTTTGGTTCTGATCAGCTGAGGACAGATCCAGTCTGGAAAAGAGGATCTTTGCTCACCAGAGTTCACGGAGTAGAGCTAACCGCTTTTTCCTCCAGAGTCACATTCAGATTCGGGGCTTTTCCGTCGGAGAGTGTGAGCAGGATGGATCAGTCCCAGCTGATGGATCCTTGCATCTGTGCTCTACTAGGTCTTTATCTGTACTGTGTTAAATTTATTCTGTATGTATTTTATGTGTATACCTATTCTGCGCTGTTTTATCTTTGTTCTATGTTCTGAACACACAGGTGTGTTTTATTCTGCTCCAGCAGGTGGTGCTAGTGCACCTTTAAGCTGGTCACCGACCACCGGAAAAAGCAGAAACCGGAAGCTGCTAACAGAGCTAGCTTGTTGTTCTGGTGTGTGAGGAGAATATTTGAGGCTCTGCAGTAAAAATGTCTTCACTTCAGTCTCTGGGAGAGTTGATCAGCTAAAGCGACTAACTGCTGCTGCTGCAGAAATCTTCTCACCAGGCTGTGGAAACTTTCTTTTCCTCCTCAACAACTTGGTGGAGTTCTTTCCAGAACCAGAGAAGATATTCTGCGGTCTTCGTGACAATCGGAGCTCCAGAATCAGGTTGTGGGTGAGAAAAGCTTTTCTCTAGACTTCCTGCCCTCTGGATCTGCTGCTGTTCCTTTGGCCAGAACCAAAGCGTTGGATCTTTAATCTCCTGCGTTGTTCTGAAGCAGCATCTTAATCAGCTCTCCTGCTTTGTTTCTATTGCAGCTGTTAGCTAAACACGGCTAAAGAAAACCTGCTACCACTTCAGGATCATCCATCAGCTGGGACTGATTCATCGTGTGTTCTTCACCACCTGGACCTGGACAGCATGGACACAGGTACTGGTGGATGAATGAATGAATATCGACACTGATGGGACATTACAGTGAAACTACAAGTACCTCCTATGAGGTGGAAGTTTAGTGGAAAATAAAAATAAAGTGTTGTTTCGTTGCTCCATGATGCCCTTGATTTAACCTTAAGTTAGTTACAGTTAATATTAGTTGTTATCCTTCGCTGTTTTTCCGCCTTCCCAGTTCTTAAGGTTCTCTGCACAAATGAGAAGAAAAGCCACTGCTTGCCTTTTAGGTTTCCAATCATCTCAATCATTTATTTATCCAAGCATGCATTGGAGATAGTCTTCACCTCCCAGTTTCCTGTGGAGTCACAGATTTTATTCTCCTGATGTGAAGTCAGAGCCTGACTTCTCCTGAAACTTAGCTCAAGGCCATAAAACAATATCTCCTAGCAACCAACATTCTTTGCTCTCTGGTCCTACAGAAGAGTCCTTGGGACGGCATGTGGCTTTGGCTCTTATCATATCCAGGTCTGCCCGACACGGCCTCTGCCTTTGGACCGCTTTAAGATTCAACTTCAAAAGCGGTTAGCTCTACTCCGTGAACTCAGATGACCAAACGTCCTCTTTTCCAGACTGGATCTGTCCTCAGCTGATCAGAACCAAAGCGTTGGATCTTTAATCTCCTGCGTTGTTCTGAAGCAGCATCTTAATCAGCTCTCCTGCTTTGTTTCTATTGCAGCTGTTAGCTAAACACGGCTAAAGAAAACCTGCTACCACTTCAGGATCATCCATCAGCTGGGACTGATTCGTGTGTTCTTCACCACCTGGACCTGGACAGCATGGACACAGGTACTGGTGGATGAATGAATGAATATATTATCAGTATATGGTGGGACATTACAGTGAAATTATGAGAATGAGGTTCAATCTTTAAAATAATGATCTGTATATGTTTAGCACTACTGGGGTTCTAAAACCCCCAAAGCGTTTTACATCACAGTCATTCACTCGTTCACAGACTGTTGTAGAACCCTGAAGTTTTAGAGTGAATAGATATCTCCAATGAATGATTTTTGAAGCCAAGTATAGTGGTCATGTGACTCGTTTTGATCCAAAGAATTTTTTGTTTTGAGGGGAGTTAAAGTCCCAAAGTCATCGTCACACACTGGTGAAGTTACGTCCTGCATTTGACCCGTCCCCATGGGGAGCGGTGAGATTAAGCTGTGGGAACTATTTGGTCTTCTGTCGGGTTTCAGTCACTACGAGAATCAGTCAGAGACAGGAGAGGTTTTCATCTTGTTCACAACCTACCTTTGTTGTAGCGTCAGTCACGCATCATCATTTGACCAATCACAGTTGGGGAGACAGCATGATGCAGACACGACGGCAGCGGCGCTGACAGCACGTATGACTGCTGTTGCTTCAACATGTCGCTGTGGTTTAGAGCTTAAAGGCCCAGTGTGTAAAACCATTCGACTCTTTAGCGCCACACAGTTCAGAGTAAGTATTGCAGCTCCGGTAGCCCACACTAGGGTTGGGCTGTTTTTCCATTCGTCCACCATTAGTCCAATAAATGATGATGGGCCGTGGTTTGTGCATGTGACTGATTAAGGTATGATTCACTGACTGATTTGTGAACACAGAAGAAGTCTAAACATGGATTATTTTATGGATGCGCGGCACAAATTAGAATTTTCTTTTTGTTTAACTCATTCACTGCCAGCCGTTTCCTGATCAGAAAATCTCTTCGCTGCCAGCGTTTTTCAGCGTTTTTACTGTTTTTTTAAGAGTCACAGAACGTTGCTCTATGATGATGTCAACGCCAAAACTACCAACACAAAGTGGAGACTCGCCTCTTACATCAGGAAGAATCCGCGTATTTTGAGTGTTATCTGTTCTTTCATAATCCGTTGTCGAATTGTGATCGGTAGAAGCTTTTCCGGTTCTCGCCTCACTTTTTTTTTAGCAGCGTCCCAAAACAACCTGCTAACACATGGATTTTCTGCTTCCCGATCATGTGACGTGTGATGTATGCGGATGAAGATCGGCTTTAGAGCTGGGATGTTTGTTCTCACGGTGCGGGGGCTCGTTCTGACGGCCACACAGTAAAAGAATGCAAATGACGACTTTTCAATTCATTAAGTTCTTCGATTCATTTTACAGGGAGTGCAGAATTATTAGGCAAATGAGTATTTTGTCCACATCATCCTCTTCATGCTTGTTGTCTTACTCCAAGCTGTATAGGCTCGAAAGCCTACTACCAATTAAGCATATTAGGTGATGTGCATCTCTGTAATGAGAAGGGGTGTGGTCTAATGACATCAACACCCTATATCAGGTGTGCATAATTATTAGGCAACTTCCTTTCCTTTGGCAAAATGGGTCAAAAGAAGGACTTGACAGGCTCAGAAAAGTCAAAAATAGTGAGATATCTTGCAGAGGGATGCAGCGGTCTTAAAATTGCAAAGCTTCTGAAGCGTGATCATCGAACAATCAAGCGTTTCATTCAAAATAGTCAAAAGGGTCACAAGAAGCGTGTGGACAAACCAAGGAGCAAAATAACTGCCCATGAACTGAGAAAAGTCAAGCGTGCAGCTGCCAAGATGCCACTTGCCACCAGTTTGGCCATATTTCAGAGCTGCAACATAACTGGAGTGCCCAAAAGCACAAGGTGTGCAATACTCAGAGACATGACCAAGGTAAGAAAGGCTGAAAGACGACCACCACTGAACAAGACACACAAGCTGAAACATCAAGACTGGGCCAAGAAATATCTCAAGACTAATTTTTCTAAGGTTTTATGGACTGATGAAATGAGAGTGAGTCTTGATGGGCCAGATGGATGGGCCCGTGGCTGGATTGGTAAAGGGCAGAGAGCTCCAGTCCGACTCAGACGCCAGCAAGGTGGAGGTGGAGTACTGGTTTGGGCTGGTATCATCAAAGATGAGCTTGTGGGGCCTTTTCAGGTTGAGGATGGAGTCAAGCTCAACTCCCAGTCCTACTGCCAGTTTCTGGAAGACACCTTCTTCAAGCAGTGGTACAGGAAGAAGTCTGCATCCTTCAAGAAAAACATGACTTTCATGCAGGACAATGCTCCATCACACGCGTCCAAGTACTCCACAGCGTGGCTGGCAAGAAATGGTATAAAAGGAGAAAAACTAATGACATGGCCTCCTTGTTCACCTGATCTGAACCCCATTGAGAACCTGTGGTCCATCATCAAATCTGAGATTTACAAGGAGGGAAAACGGTACACCTCTCTGAACAGTGTCTGGGAGGCTGTGGTTGCTGCTGCATGCAATGTTGATGATGAACAGATCAAAACACTGACAAATCCATGGATGGCAGGCTTTTGAGTGTCCCTAGCTGGGAGAGGAGGGGGGGCGGTAATATGAGAAAATAAACATTCCTCTCTACAATAGAATAAATCTATTGTATTCTTTCATCCTTATATTTTACATAAGGCTTATACATTTCCACATACTAGTCATTTAACGTATCTTATTTTTATTTTCCTAATACTGTCGGCTTTGGAAAGGATCAAAACACAAAAGTGTAAAACTCCACAGACTCAGAAAACAAAAAACTTGAATGTTAGATTTATACGGACTGAGTTTGTGTGTTCTGTTGTTTTTGAGATTGCAAAATATATCTTATCTGCATTACTTGGAAACCCTAGTGAGTTACTGAGACAGTTCTTTGGTGTGTAATATAGAAATAAGTTAGCATCAAAATGGCAGAGAATGAAGGTTTTAATCATAAGAATATTTGTATTTATTTCTTTTTTTTGTGAAGTAGATTTATCGGCCATTATATCGGCTATCGGCCTTTGTTAAAAGTTTTATATCGGTATCGGTCCCAAAAAAAGCATATTGGTCGGGCCCTAATATATATATATGAGCAAAAAAGTATTTAGTCAGTCACCGTTTGTGCAAGTTCTCCCACTTAAAATGATGACAGAGGTCAGTAATTTACATCATAGGTACACTTCAACTGTGAGAGACAGAATGTGAAAAAAAAATCCATGAATTCACATGGCAGGATTTTTAAAGAATTTATTTGTAAATCAGGGTGGAAAATAAGTATTTGGTCACTTCAAACAAGGAAAATCTCTGGCTCTCACAGACCTGTAACATCTTCTTTAAAGAGTGGGTCAATTGAGCCTCGGAGTCCTTCTCCACCCACGTATCAATTTTAATAAATGCAACATTAGTAGGCGTTGCCTGGAGGACCGAGAGGGCGGAGCCGCGGCAGTGACGAAGACGACGGCTAACTAGACGATGCTAGCTCCCTTCACTCTATGCAGTTATTAGAAGTGGAGGATGTTTCTCCCCCTCCTTACCCAGACACTCGAGAAGAAAGGGACCAAGTCTATTTGGAGGAGACAAGCGGACCTGAGCCTTATTGTTGTGAGCTTGTGAGTTGCCTGTAACTCCCAG